AGGCAGAAGGAAGCGTTTCCGACCCCATAAAGTATATATATTCTTGATCAGGATCAATAGCCGAGTCGATCTAGCCATGTCCGTCTGTCCGTCTGTCCGTCTGTCCGTCTGTCCGGATGAACGCTGAGATCTCGGAAACTATGAGAGCTAGGCTATTGAGATTTGGCGTGCAGATTCCTGAGCTTCTTACGCAGCGCAAGTTTGTTTCAGTAGACTGCCACGCCCACTCTAACGCCCACAAACCGCCCAAAACTGTGGCTCCTACAGTTTTGATGCTAGAATAAAAATTTTAACTGAAATGTAATGTTCTCATCAATACCTATCGATTGACCTAAAAAAAAGTTTGCCACGCCCACTTTAACGCCCACAAACCGCGAAAACCTGTGACGCCCACAATTTTTATGCTAGATAAAAAATTTTAACTGAAATGTATTCGTCTCGTCATTACCTATCGATTGACTCAAAAAAAAGTTTGCCACGCCCACTTTAACGCCCACAAACCGAAAAAACCTGTGACGCCCACAATTTTCATGCTAGATAAAAAATTTTAACTGAAATGTATTGGTCTCGTCGATACCTATCGATTGATCCAAAAAAAATTTGCCACGCCCACTCTAACGCCCATAACGCTTAAATCTGTATACCGCCGGTAGGTGGCGCATTTTAATCTCGCTTTGCTGCTTGCATATCTCCATTTAGCTGAGTAACGGGTATCTGATAGTCGAGGTACTCGACTATAGCGTTCTTCCTTGTTAGACATAATAAGGCAGAAAGTCTGCGAAGAAAGGGGGCTTTCGGGCTGGGGTTTGGGTTTGGGTTCGGGTTCGGGTTCGGGATTGGGTTGGGGGGCTCAGCTGAGGGCAGCAGCAGCAGATATGACCAAAGAGTTTGTCAGCTCAGCTCAGCTCTACTATGGCATAGCAACTATAAGTAGTAACTGACCAAACGACCCAGCCGGCGAGGCCTCAAAACAGGCTCACGAGTATTGGCGATCACAGTGCGGAGTTTTTCCGGCCATGCTCTGTGCTATTAAAATATATTACAGCAGCAATTTCACTCGACTTTATTTTTGCGCTTTAGTTGCGGAAAAGCAGCGTAGCTTTGGCTGCTGTACTCCAAAGTCTGAAGTCTGTATACAGAGAAAAAATGTATGAGACGTAATGATCATTTTTAAGAAATTCGGTATCAATTCCTTTTAGATGAAGGGTGTATCATTTTGATATTTTCAATAATTTTGATATTTTCTATCATTTTGATATTTTTGCCATATTGATGTTTGCTCTCTTTTTCTACTTTTAAGTGTTAAGAATATTGTTGTCTCGTTCCTTCTCAGAGTAATTATTGGCGCTATCTCACTCTTTTCTATCTTTTGGATTTCAGGGAATTTACATAATGATCAATTTGAAGAAATTAGGTTTGATTTCTATCTAGATACAGCATGTATCACTTTTGTATATTCGCCATCTTACTTGTTGCTCTCCTTTTCTGTTTTGAAGGGTTTCAAATATTGTTGTCTCGTTCCTTCTCAGAGTATTTTCGCTATTTTTAAAGGGAGCATGTCCCAGAAATACCATTACTTAATATTACACTTTCATTATTTAATGGTAAAAATAATTCTTCGCAAACTTACCATACGAATATCAACTACATCCTTACGTGTTTTTTTTTCTGTGTACTCTGAAGTCTTGGCGGTTATAACTTAATTTTTTATGGTCATGAAAGTCAATTGCAGTTTGGCATTTCTTCGATGGATTTTTCTTCGTTCGCCCGTGGAATCATCGGCATCATCATCATCGTCTCTGTCATTACGAGTTCTCTGTTTGTTACGACTAGGGATCTTTGTTGCCGGGGAAAAGTCGTAACATGAACGCAGCGGAAACTGTGAGCCAAGGAAAAACTAGCACCCGGTTGGCATAGAAAACTATTATGCACATTTGCAATGGTAAACTGTTCAATGAGGAGAACGTATCTTTGCAAGTCTTTTACAATCCGAATTTAATTATTATTACCATGAGGATTCTCAGCAAATCCTATAAGCGATTCTCGCTAATCTATCATCTATCTAATCGATAGCTTAAAAATTTGAGGGATTAACAAAGTAAATTTTGGCATAAACATATTCTTGCTATTCCGGTTTCTAAGTTTTATCTCGAGGTAACCGGTTATGATCTAGAATATACAATTAGATGAAGCTAAAAATAAAATGTTATCTTTTTTTTTATAAAAACAAATTAAGTCGAGATATTTACTTGTGGCCTCAAAAGACAGGAATATAATTAGCATACCCTTGAACTTTAAGAGTACTTAAAAAATTGCCTTTTTTGAGAAACCCACACTCATTGCTGTATTCAGATCATTGTTACAAACCAAACGTGTGTCGCACTTCATGTTGGCCTTTTTTGGGGCAAAACTTCAATTGGCAAATTGAAAACTCATAAGAATTCTCACGTTTCGCTCCAAATTTTGTAAGTCAGACAACTTTTGGGTTTTGCATAATCACCACTGGCACAACAAGTCCCACACGCCTCAACAAAGTAAAAACCGTAACAAAGAACAGCCACAAAATGTGTCTATGTATGTAGCTATGAGGAAAAAGAACCTTCAAAACTCATAAACCCATATCAAAACTGTGGGCTATCGAAAGATGGCTTGTCGAAAGTATTATGATGCCAAATTGTGATCGTTACAGAGAAGTAAAGCTGTGGAGATGTTGCCAAGCGGAGTTTGCCTAGCGGGATTAAGTTTGCTTAAAAAGTTTTATCGTATCAACCCGCCAGCAATTCGGCTGTTGTTGTTCAGGCTTTAGTTGGGTCCGTTTCCTGTGCGTAGAGTGCGGATTACGGGGTACTCAAATCTATGCAAATTCATCATCCGTCAGTGCCCCAGAAACACACAAAACCGGTGGCACTTTCGGTACTCTACAGGAGACCCACGCGCCTGCCTTTCATCCGCTTTTACGATGGTGCAATGAACCCAAAACACGGGCCACACCATCTAATAGTTTTGAATTTCGGAACTCGTGTGGACCCTCAAGGTAAATGCCGCTAATGAATGTCTTCAGTCTTCTCCAGAAGCCACGATTGATTTGTATTCATCTGATCAGCACACTTTGGCATTCGTTTTTTCTCTTGGCAGTACCGAAAAAGTTAAGCAACAATTAACATTAAAGTTATTTCATGAGAATTTACTTCGTTCCGGGGAAATAATATTTTAAAATATTGTTTCTATAATCTTCAGCTGATTAAGCATAAAAAAACACAGCTCGGCCTTTGATAAATACGTTCAGAATTCAAAGTTGAGATTAAATGAAAACCTAACTTCCCCAAATGCTACGATTCATCCGGTTTTGTTATTTTTAATCTCATTTTACATTTTTTTAAACGCTTGGGGTCTCTTTGGGTGACTAATGTTCGTTCCGATACCAAAAGTCGTCGCACTCCCGAGTATTTAATTCCGATGGCATACCCCAAAATTTATGGCAAAACCCGTGCTGGCTCACCTTGATGTTATGCGAGCATTTTTGTATTCATTTGTACGAGTATGACAAAAAATGCAATCAAAATGACATTGGATTTTTTGAACAAGTCCACACCCGCATCTTTTATTAGTGGAAAGCTGAGAAGAGTGCTTGACAAACTGGAACCCACGTAAGCACTTCCTGTGCGACATTTTGTTTGGCTAACTACGCTGAATGATAAGTAATCATGAGCGGTTAATTGATAACGAAGACAAACAATACGCTAGTAGAAAGGGGAAGTACGTCGTTAGCTTACGTTCTTTGCAGAAAACTGTGCCAATTAGGAACAGAATTCAGCAGTTTCTTCTGGAGAGTCCGCGGCTACAGACCTTTTTCTCCGAAATGGATCCCAATAAAAGGCAAGATACGAATGTAACTCTTGAACACACTTATTTATTGGCCTTAACTAAAGTAAACCATGTTTGCTTATCACAAACCTTTTTTTAATGTGAAACTATTTTTATTGACTTAATTAAAAGCTATTGTTTGAAGTGTTCATTAATATTGATAACGGTGACTTAATAATTATATGACTTACGAAGGCTGTTAAGATATCTCGAAGCATGGTGATCGTTTTATTGTGCAATTAATAAAAGAAAAGGATATCACTAAAAAGTTTGATCAGTATACAGATCTTTTATATAGTACACTGATACTCTTCTATAGAAAAAGTATCGTAAAACTAAAATAGTAATCGAAACCTCGGGCTTCTGATAAATATTACAATCTTCTGCTGAGCGTTACAGTGTGCAGTTCGCTTAATAAATCACTCAAAGTTTAAATATACCAAAAAGAAAAAAATGACAAATTAGAAACTGTTATTATTATTTATTAAAATTGTGACATCCCAGATATTATCTATCTAAATAGTGGAAGCTAGTTAGGTATCTAACTAAAATGGTTAAACATGCCTTTTAAAAATATTTTCCTTACCAACGAACTGTGTGGTTTCTGTACCATATTTTTTCTTAGTGTAGTTCGTAAGCTTAGGCACTATAAAATTTGTCAAAAGCGCCATCTGCTATAAAGGGTACTTTTTCAAATTCGGCCCGCGCGCCTAAAGTGCTTCAAAACAATACCAATAGGTGTCGCCATGGATATTTGAATATGTAAACTACATGGGTATCTACATGTTGTCATGTAAATTGCTTGAATGCCTTTGCAAAGAGTATTTTGATTTCAGTGAGAAGTGTGGAACGCAGAATATTTTTTTAAATGCAGGTAGTGCATAAGTTAAAAGCTATATCATACAGCTCCCATATAAATAATCTTGACTTTTAATAAAAATTCACAATTTTGAATTAAATCGACTATAATATATATCTATATATGAATTTATTAAATGGCGTGGCCTTATTTGCAAGCTTCTTTTCTTCTTTGGTAATATTCTAGTTCTGTACGCCCTTCCGAAAATTAAAAAAAAATTTATTTAAGTTGATACGAATGAATACAACGTTAACCAATTTTTTTAATTTTTCCCTTGCAGCTACAACATGCGTTTTGAGCCTTTGGGCCAGAAAATGTTCACCCGCCGCAACTGGCTGCTGCGCTGCAGCATCCTGATCAACGTGGCGGTGATCCTGTACATCGGCAGTCAGTTGATGATCGGCGGCGGCAACAACTTTACGAATGGCGGAGGATTCCTGTTGCAGGACCAACAACAGGTGGCGATGCTGCAGGTGGGCTCCGCCGCGTCGGCGGCTCAGGTGCAGCCACAACAGCCTCCCACGCCCAAGAACCAGAACGTAAGAGATGTTTAACAAAAATATTTAAATTACTTTTACCTAACCCCATTCGTATACCCCTCAGCAGGTGGCCGAGATCTTCGAGTCTGAGGAGAAGCAGCTGGTCAACTCCAATGCGGACTCTCCAGCAGCAGCGCCTCAGGCGGCCGAAGGAGCTCCACCGTTGGTGAACGACAGTGGTGGAGCAGCCGCTGCCCTCAGCGATCCCGCCCAGGTGATCGGCAACATTGGAGCCAATGGCATTGCCGAAGCCAACAACACCCAGTCCGAAGGTGGCTACATAGTCACGGGCGATGAAAAGGAGCTGGAGGAGCGGGTTCGATCGCTGATCAACTGTTTCGACCACGACTACCACCAGCAGACGTTGCAACGAGGAGATTTCTGGGTGCTCCAGAACTACGTGCGGGCGGAACACGGGGACATCAAGTGCCACGAGTCGATCACCTACACAACGCATGCGGACTACACGTTCCTGGACAATCTCATTCCGCTGCTGGAGCGCTGGAACGCCCCGGTGAGCATTGCCATGCACGCGCCCGGCACGGATTTCCAGCCCACGGTGGACTCGATCCGGTATCTAAGAGAGTGCCTGCCCGGCAGCCACCTGGTGCGCGCCTACACCACCTTCCACATCTACTTCGGCACCAAGCACATTCCCAAGTCGGTGCCCAAACCGCACGACGTCTTCAAGACGGGCTACAACTGCACACTCCCACCGCCGTACTTCAACGTGAGCTCGGGCCATCTGTACAAGGCGCAGAAGAAGCTCCTGTATCCGGTGAATGTGGGCCGGAACATTGCCCGTGATTCGGCGCTCACCCACTTTATCCTGGCCTCCGACATCGAGCTGTACCCGAATCCGGGTCTGGTGAAGAAATTTCTCGAGATGATTGCCCGCAATGAGCAGTACTTGAGGCGCAAAGCTCCCAGGTGAGAGCCAGCCATGAAGGTTAATATATATTTTATCCCTAACTTTTATTCTTCTTTAATTTAAGGGTATTCCCATTGGCCATCTTCGAGGTGGAGGAGAACTCTCCGGTGCCCCATGACAAGACCGAACTGCAGGAGTTCTTGCGCACAGGCAAAGCCATACCCTTCCATAAACGAGTCTGCGCCAGCTGTCATGGCGTACCCAAGTCCAAGGAGTGGATGTCCGCCAATGAGACAGACGAACTCAGTGTGTTTCATATAGGTAATATAAATTCATTTACATATATTTTCCCTTAGGATTATTATTAATTTATTTATGGCTTCGCAGGAAAACGAACTGGTTACTATGTGCATTGGGAGCCCATCTATATTGGAACTCATGCGGATCCCCACTACGATGAGAGACTTAGCTGGGAGGGTAAAAGCGACAAAATGCCTCAGGTGGGTCCTATTGAATTTTTGAAAGTAGAAAATTATAAAATGGTTTTTATTCCAGGGCTATGCGCTTTGCGTAATGGACTATGAGTTCCACATATTGGATAACGCATTTCTGGTGCACAAACCTGGCATCAAAGTGCTGAAAAAGGACAATCGACGAGCCATGCTGTCCGGCAAGACGAACCAGCTGATACGAAAGATCATCTATCCAGAACTGAAGATCATGTACGGCATGCGCAAGGGATGTGCGATATAGTAACTAATTCTGAAACCGAGCTGAGCTCAGTCCCGCCAGAACGGGAAGGAGGCGAAGGCGAAAAGACTACAACCAACTTCACTATTACTATTTGCAATGCTATAGATCGGAGGTGTTGACTCTACCGATGCCAATTGCCTCTATAGCATTGGATGCGCACTGCAAGTGTGTGTTTTACAATTAGCTAGAGACTTAGCCCTAGGACTAATAGAGCATTACGTAGTTAGGCTTAGCTATAGGGTCAGGTCGTGTAACGCCATGTGGGCCTATTGGGTTTTTCCGCGTTCTGGGTTATCTTTTTCTACTCTGCAAAGCCTTGAGAGCGTGGCTTAAATAGATTTAACGTAGTTAAATGTGGCTTTTAGGTATCATGCTGTACTCCATTTACCAGGCCATTCTAAAGCTGGAAATAGCAGCCAGTTAACCAGAGGGTCCTTTGACAAATACTGTTCAACAATCTACGCCTAGAATTGATCCACTTCCATGAACTTTCTGTAAATACAACACCCTTGGAAAAACCTATTGAACCTCCTTCTCTCCGGCTATCAAAAACTTGAGATATAGGAATTTCCATCACTCATAGGCAGTCATTATCAGTTACTTCTAGCCTAGGCCATTAACTTAAGTTATCGTTATTTAGCTGAATTTTCCATATGCATCCATTTACAAGTTGAAGCTAGTTTTTCTTTTCAAAATACTCAACAGAGAAATTGAGAGCAACATTATTTTTGTATTACCAGGGCGAGATTCCTAATTGACGTCGACAAAACCACAGTCTTACCACTTTGTGTTTGTGTATTTGCATAGTAGAGCCATAGATTAAACGATGTTTTCTTGGGCAATGTAGACTTACTGCAATGACCAAAACCTAGATTAGACCGATACCGGGCCAAAACAATTCCAGCGTTAAATATTTGACTTGAATAGCAGAGTAGGAATCATTGAATTGAATTAAATAGACTTTGAGAGTTAAATCGTAAATAGTAATAATGATAAAGTTAAAAGGCTAAAGACAAGTTTCGAAACAAACACAATTACTATTAAAATTTATACAACAAACCACACATTGAGAATTGATTTGTTTACTTACCGCACTGAATGGTAGGCAAAGCAAAGCAATTGATGCAATTGAAGATTACATTTCAATGAGCATAAATGCGAACCGTGATATTTGTACTAGTAAAGCGATATGGAGATGTTAAACCTAATTGATAAGAAATGAGGGGACGATCGGAGGGAAAGATCAGATACCCATATGCATTAAACCTAACGTAAATTTAGTTTTGTATATGTTTTTTATTAGTGTTGAACATTAAGTCAAACTTGTGCACATATAAATGTTAAAAACAATATTGTGAAATCGGATTCGCGATTCGATTTTGAGTGAAATGCTGAAGGTTTTTGTTGCGTGTAGGCCTTATCGAAATAAAGAAAAACATTAGCAACTAAGTGGTCGATTTTAGAGAGTTTAAACAATATTAGTACTTAGCTGAAATACAGCAGATTTTACGTATGTTGTTGAATATTTAATAAAAGTACATTTTGAAAGTGACTTGGGAACAACATACAACAATTGGTGTTTGTATTTATTTCACACTTAGCACATAAGCTTTGATTTGGCTAAGAACAGGTTAGCAAATCAAGTCTTAGATTTATTCGCTCAAAAATTGATTTAATTACGTATTTTCCATTAGTAAGACTAAAATATCACTAAACATAATGAAAGTTGTTAAAAATGTAGCTAAGAGCAGAATTAAAAACATCAATAGAATACAACAATTTGAAATAAATAATATATTTGTATGATGTAATGTAAAGTTTAAAAGTGCCTTAGACAAAACGAAGAACATAAATTATTTTTAAGAACCATTAATCAGCAGCTGGAAAATATCCTGAGTTTACTTTTCAATTGGCAACAGTGTGTGTTCAAAAGGGCATACAGCATATTTTTGTATGTATATAAATGAAATAAAACGGCAATGTATTACACTATATATGTACATAAATAGTTAATGAAAATGGATTATTTTTTATAACTTCGAGTCGATGTCACAATTCCTATTGAATGAGTCTTCTTAATGATTTATTGCCTGCCAATTGTTTGATTCCTTTTACTTAACGAAAGATACTTGTAGTCCCTTATTTATCTCTTTTTATTAGGGTTCATACCTAATTTGACCAGAAAGAAGACCTTGATCGTAAAATTTTGACTTACACATATTGCAAGAACGCCTCATATGTCTAAATATAACTTTTGTAATAAGTAGTTAAGTGCAAATCTGCTGAGCATGGACTACTAGTTAAATCTAAGAAAAGCTACACAAAACTGAGAAAATAAAAATGAATATAAAAAATGTTTAAGTGTATTCCTTTCCCCTGGGCATTCAGTTTCAGCGTTTCGAAGAATTTGTATAAATGAATTATAAAAGTCTTTCAAATTCGGAACTTTTGTGATATCTTTATAGGTATTAATTCAGTTCTAAACTTGTTTTTCGGCTTCATGACATTTGCTGTGCATCTTTCGTCATTACTTAATTTAAGCTTTGATTCTTTAAAAATCCCCACCGCTTAACTTAAGGCCTAATACCAAGATCATTGTCAGATTGTCGTGATTGGTACGGCCTCATGGGCGCAGTCGGCCTTGACTTTAAGTTGGATTTTCAGGTTTTTTTTCGATTTTCGGTTGTCTGTTCAACGAAAACAAAAGTGCGAAATATGGAAATCAAATTTAACATAAATTAAATACAGTCTTCGTTTTCGTTGATTAATATTTAAAACAGTTGCTAGCCAATACTTGAAGCAGAACTTGCTAGGATGACGAACTGAGTCATTTCGAGCGAAAGGAAGCTTTTTCCAGTGAATTTTTAAGCCATCTGATGTCTTTACGTTTATTCGTTATTTATTAACATTTTTGTTTTTATTGCAATTGAGGCTGAGATTACGACGGCGACGGCCAAAAGCTGTTGCGAATCCCCAACAGGTAGAGGAAGATCAGCAAGCTCCGGCGACAACTCGGCTCGTTGCGATGATGATGATCATCATTATCGTCATCATCGCGAAGAGCTTCAGCTTCGTATGTGATGTTACCAGTTAATATCTGCGTTGTGTTTCTAGCGCAAAACAGTCGAAATTGTCAGCTCGTTGGCAGAGCATCGCAGTAGCTCTCCTTTAGTTTAACTTTTAGTGCCCACTGGGACCATATTTGGATCCACAAACCTACCGAGGACTTTACACAACATTTAACATGGCTAAAATATTGATCAGTGCTTTATTGTGCGTTGCCATGTTTGGCTCGATGGGTTAGTATTCTACAGTTTTATATCATTTTATTGCCAAAACGAAAGACTTTGGCAGCGAACTTTTCCATATTCAAATCTGATGGGGTGACAGATATTACTATATGCATACGTCAAACCAAAGTGGAATATTAAGCAAATGATCTTGAAGAATTATTCAAATGATTTTACAAAGTAAATAGAATGTTGCCTTTTTGTATAAAATAATAATAATTTTGGTATTTAATTTTCTAATAAAAACTATAAGAATAATAACACATTTGTTAGTTACGATTTAAAATTCCTTATTTGACTATGACGAGTCCCACCTTGAATTCGCAAACTCTGCAATTACTCAGTTAGGCGCGCCACATTGCAATTTTAAAACTAAGGTGATCTTGCAATTTTCATCGGATTTTCGCTACCCCAGCTTACATCTTTCTTACAATACCAGGAAATCACACGAGTCTTCAAATACAAAAATTTTAGCATAAAGAAAGAGAAAAAAGCTCAGTAAATTCCAGTAATTATTGCGAATCGCTGAAGTAATACTAATATTTAAAATCACACCGAAATTTCATTATTATTTCAAGGTCGGCCTTTTCAGAAATTAAATTCACACGCCGAAGCTGGCAGAAAGAAATGATTATTGCATAACCTTTGGCTGGCGCTGCCGTTGGCGCATTGGTCCATTGTGTGATCTCGTCGACGCTACGAAACGAGTTTATCTTGCGGATAGCGGTCAGACATGTTAGGGGGCTGGGGCTCGAGGCGACAGATCGATCTCGGTGCGTGTATAGCCGGTTGTGGTGACCTTTAAGCGTCTTTGCACCTCTCGGGGGCTCTTTGAATTTGGTTCATCTTCACGATGACAGGTTTCGATGGAAAAGATTGTCGGGAAATAGACGAAAGTGACAGTTTGGTTGCGTGGGAAACTGTTTACATTATTTGTATTTGATATTTTTTGAGTTCAGTGGCTGCACCACAAAAGAGGTCAAAAAATCTTTTCATGAAAACTACACTACGAAAAGATCGAATGAAATGATTTTATTTGTTCCTGTTAATTTTTTTTAAGTTTGGCAAGGTTTTATATAACAATTAACAACCAATTGACTAGTTGTTACAAAGTATTTGATATTAAATTCGAAAAGAAATACAGCTTTATGCTTAGACTATAACATAAAGAATGCAATATATTATTAAAAAAACACGTTACACTATACGCATTACTCATAGAATAGTAGGGTACATAGTATTCTTTGAATGTGTGTAACAGGTTGAAGAAATTTCTAAAAATCGTGAATGTAAAAATCTTGAATCAACTTTGTAGATGTCTTTAAAACGTCGAGATATCGGAATCTATTAAGTTTAAAGAGATAGCATTTTTTAGCAGTCGAGTCACTGACTATAGCGTTTTCTTTGTGATTTCCATTACTTTTATAAATTTTTTTTTCGAGAAAACCCTATTGTCAGACTAGTAAGAATTATTGTGTTGTATGTTATTCAATAAAAATCAGTTGATTCTTAATGCATTAATACGAATACCGGTAGTTGTGCCATTTCGATTTGTAGATTTATTTAATGGTTCTTTTTTAGTGAGTAGAACCATATGTGATCCTATTTTATATTAAAATTAAACATTTGTAAACCCTCAAAACCATAAGCCTAACAAAAATATATTTGCAAAAATATATAATCATATACTTTAATATCACACTGCAAATCAACAAATCTGATAACCCTCCACATGTTTTTAATTTTCTAATTTATTTTTTTAAAACCGGCTCCTTTATGCACCTTCCTCTTTAATAACCTATTCCTTTTATACAAGTACTCCTTTTTGAATTCCTTAAAGTAAGAAAAATCACTCTATCGAACTCCCTTGCACCCGTTATTAAAAACCATATTACTCCAAAATATTTTTTTGGTTAACAATCCAACTAACTAAAATTTCTGAATAACATCCGCGGGTTCAACAACCGGGGTGTGTGCCCATAATTCATTAAAATTTCATTATCCGATGTGCATATATCGCGGGAAACCATTGTCAAGTGGAATGCCGCCCTGCGTGGCAATTCCCACGACCTGTTCGATCCTAAAGTACGTACAATGTATCAAATTGCAAAAAAATAATAAGAGGCAGCTTCTCATCATAAATCATTAGAGGTAAGCTCGCCACCCCAGTCCCGTTGATCGACATTAACCGTCGTCTGCTATCCATTTCAGCTGCCGCCGCCGCCGGAGGATGCCGGGAGGCGAATGGAACTGCTCCGGTGTCGGGATCCTGCGACGCCTACATCGAGTGCAAGAACGGAGTGGCTGAGGAGAAGCTGTGCCCCGACGGCCTGCTGTACAACGAGAAGTCGACGGGCTATCCCTGCGGCTATCCCATCGATGTGGAATGTACCCAGGCCCAGAGTCGTCTGCAGGCCCCCCAGCCCACGGAGGATTGCCCCCACCAGTTTGGATACTATCGCATGGGCGATGCCAGTCACTGTGGACAGTTCATGAACTGCGCCGCCGGCAAGGGATTCGTCTTCGATTGCCCCGTGGGTCTGGCCTGGAATCCGGCCACCTACAAGTGCGATTGGCCCGATCAGGTGGAGGATTGCGATGCCGAGGCCTTCCTGGGTTTCCGCTGCCCGGCACTGACTCCCAAATCCGCACTGTTGGGCGAGCAGGAGGAGGACTACACCTTCCATCCGTCGCCGGACAACTGCCAAGTGTACTTCATCTGCATCGAGGGACGTCCCCGGCGCATCGGTTGTGGCGAGGATCAGGCCTTTAACCAGGAGCTGAAGCAGTGCGACGACATCGAGAATGTGCCCAACTGCAGCAGTGACATCCGCGAGAAGGGTGCCCAGATCAAGGCCGCTCGTCTTCATGCCAAGAAGCACTAGGAACCAGGAACCAAGTCAGAAGGAAGCGATCGCCCGTCCAGTTATGGATTCCCATGCAAACATGGCCATTTGGCATTAAGTTGCTCGAGTTTTCTAGTCTGTAGTTAAAGATTTTTGGCAAACTGATTGTTGACATTTTGCTCGTCGTAATAAAAAAAAGAAAAAAACACAAACAAACTTTCTTATAAATAACCACAAACTTAGTTGTTTATATAAAGATATCACTTCTTTAATGACTTGATTATTTATTTACAGTTCTTGGCTCACCGGAATGCCCCACGCCCAATGGTCGATTTGCTTCGGGGGATCAGTGCGATGCGTACAGAGAGTGCCAGGATGGTGTGGCCGTGGATAAACTTTGTCCTGATGGACTGCTGTTCCACCAGCGCACCAAGGCAACCGGCGAGTGCACCTATGCCCCGTATTCCACCTGCAAGGAGCGTGCTCGTCTACAGCCAGCCAATGGAACGGATGAGTGCCCGCGGCAGTTCGGTTTCTATCCCAATGGAGACTCCACCAAGTGCGGAGTGTACCGGAACTGTGCCCATGGAGTGGCCAGCCTGACCAAGTGCCCCGAGGGATTGGCCTTCAATGAGGAGACCTACCAGTGCGACTGGCCCGATCTAGTGGCCGACTGCAATGCCGAGGCCTATCTGGGCTTCAATTGCCCCGCCGCCGATGCGCTCGATGGAACCGCACCCGAGGTGGACGTCAGTCCGGAGGGGGAGCTGCGCTACTATCGCCATCCGCAGACCTGCAAGAAGTACTTCGTCTGCGTCAACGGGCATCCAAGGCTCTACAACTGCGGCAAGTACCTGGCCTTCAACTCGCAGTCGAAGCTGTGCGACTTCTACAACAAGGTGCCCGAGTGCTATGCCCTGCTCAAGGAGAAGCAGCGCCTGAAGGCGGAGAAGCTGGGTCCCCAGGCGGCCCAGACCGAGGTCTAGGCTCTTGGAGAATCCATAAAGGATCCAATCGCAGAGGCTGCATAGATATAACCTTCCTGTGCAATGATTATTATCTTGTAAATATGTATCTGCTTGTTGTTTATGCATTGCAATAAATAAGTAATCTATATATAAATGTAAGCTACACCACTGTGGATGCAAAAACTTTGTTTTTCAAAATCAGCTCTTCTTTTCAAACGGAAAAATGTAGGTTAGAAACAAAAATATAGCCTAACTCATTCAGCAGTTTATTTATTTAAACATCCTGGTAATATATAAAATTGTTCTTTACGCGAACTTTTGTAGAACTTCAAAAATCTTTCACTAAAATTTTGGTTCAACCTATACAAGATAAGGGGTTCGAGAATAAAAAGTTGAAACCTAATTTTGTGGAATAAAGATGAATACTGCTTTCATGTCGGAAACAACAGCTTAGGGTTTTAATCATTAAAAGATATTTCACTAGAAAATGTGTTTCGTAAAATGTTCAGTTTTGTATAATTTTCAAAGGAGATTGAAGGATTCAAGGAGATTGAAGCGAGCTCTAGGCTTTTAGTTTATAATAGTTAGAAAACTGGGAATAAAGAAACATTTGGAGACGCAGCCTTTTACCTGATAAATACATTTCAAATAAAAGCTAGGGAAAGGCTATTTATAAAGAAGTCCCAACTCGTATACCATGGATGTGTGCTCACTACCCCCTCTGTTCCCAAAAATAAATCATTTCTTTAGTTGTTTTTTAGTTTGTAATTTATTATCAGTTTCAGATTTTCAGTTTTTGGAATTTGGTGTGTTAGTTATTGGTAATAGTTAGCTTATTAGTAATTGGTAGATTAATTAAACTTATATTTATATTACATAAGTAAGATGGCAAACCACTTCCGCACTTTTAAACATTATACCGTGAACTTATTTGCACGCTCGTTCTTTCCATTCAATTTATAATTTTTTTTACAACGTTTTCATTTGTTAAAAAAATACTTTTTTAAAAAACAATTCCAATCTGAAGTTAAGGTTTTGTTTTTGGAAATAATTTAAGCTCGAATTTGTATGGTTGATTAAAACATTTATTCTGCAGTTATCACTAAGTAACCAATTAGTTTTTGTTCAGAATTTTTTAGGGCTGCTTAAAACTAAATTCTCCATTCATCCTTGGGGATCCGACCGCTTCTGCTTTCCTCTGATTCGTTTCTTCTTTGGCTATAAAAATTAAATTACATATAGGTTTTGTTTTTTGAACTTTTGCACTATTCTGTTGTAGATGTTTTTGCTGTTGTGTGAGTATCAGTTACATTTAATTACAACAAATAAATGGTAGTTAAGTTTAGTATTATATTTGGTTTTACAAATTTTTCTTTCACTTCGATTCATATCATTTCTTTTTGCTTTGTGGTGCTTGGCTAAGGCGACTTTTGTTTGGTTGTTTTCACTTTGTTTTTGTTGTCTTTACATTTGCAATATATTTAACTTTTGTATCCGTTTTCATGCTTTCCGCTTTCTTTTACATATACAGAAATAAACAACTTGCACTGAATAGAAACAAGAAAAATGATATTTCGACGGTAAATAAAATGCAGAAAAAAATCAATGATTTCTTTAGTCGTTTTAAAATTTGTGCTAGAAATTCGGCTATTAAAATTATTTAAGTTCATACACACACTTGAGAAAAAGTACATATCTTTTCATTTCATTGTTTTTGTTACATTTTGGTTTTCGTTTAAACATATTCAGTCTTTCAGCTTTTAACATAAATAAATTAATTAAATTAATTTATTTAATTACATTTAAAAACATCATGTTGCTTGTTGCCTGTAAATAATTTTGAGTTCTATTGCATTTATGTGGTAATTTTCGGTTGTCTGCCCATCGTTGCTTGTTTCTTAAATTTATAGCCAAAAGTTTGTTCAAAAAATTTTGAAGAAATTTTACATCCTTAGTCAAAGTTTGTTGTAGAAGCCAAAAGATTTGCTTGTTTGCTTGCTGCCTTCTTTAACTTAATACTACATACCTTTGTTTTTTATTTATCATTTACATTTAATTGTATTAATTATATGTTTTGTAATATAGTTCTTCAACTAGACCCCTCACTTTCCCCTTTGCGCGCTTTTCAATAGGTTTTACTCATAAATTGGTTTAGTTTCTGTGTTTCCCATACGTTTAAAAACTTTTAAAGTGGACGTAGCATCTCATCGCTTAAGGGTATTCAAAGTGTGTTGCTTAATTTTAATTTAATCAATATATAAGAAATATATAAAATTTCGTGTCTAAATTCAGTTGTTTTTAGGAGTTTTTTGGTTGAAACTAAAATAACTATTCTTTCGCGTATTGGTTTAAAAGTTTATCAAATACTCTCTGTCGATTTTAATTTTTGTATTTTGGTTTTTGGGTGGGGCTTACGTTATTATAGTTTTATATAGTCTTTCTTTCGATCGTTGCTTTCATATACGCCAACTTAAAAGTTTTCGTCAAAATTTGTTCTCGTTTCGCTCGTTTCTTACTGTGTAAACCGGTCTCTTGTTAAGGCATCTGCTTTTTGTCACTGAAGTTCTGTTTTTTCTTTTGTTTCTAGTTTTGGTTTTGCATTTTTTAGGTCTGACTGCATTGGAATTTGGTTTAATTTATATTTTTCAAAACAAGAGTACCCAAAGTATAAACCTCCGATAGTTTACATTTGCCCAAAGTTTTTAAATTTTAGCTGTGACTCCTAAAAACAACGAAATACGTTTGTAGTCTTTATGATTAATTTTGCTGTGCCTTAAGATACAATTTTAATTTGAAAATTTACGTTCACTTTGTAATACAGTACTAGACAAAGTTTCCCTTTGCTTTAAGTTTTTAATTTCGTTTGAGTGTTAAATTTTCTTTTAGTTTTGAATTTAATTTAGGTCTCTGAATAAACTTAAATTAGTAATTTTGTGGTCTAAATTTGAATGCAGTTTACAATGCGCATTTTGTATATTTTGTGTTTTATGTGGAATATTAGTTTATAAACGCATTTAAGCGCCATGCTGGATAAGCATTCTAAATTAATTAGCTGAAAATAATTTAAAGTCATTTTTGAAATGAAATCAACAAATTAATAAAAACACGTTTGTTTTGTAATTTTTAATGATATAAGAAAGTGTTTAATGAAAATTCAGTATAAATTTGAAAAACTTAACATTACACAATGAAATATAAATGTTAAAGACTCAAAAATATATAAAAACTTTAAATCAACTAAGATAAAAATAATGGAAAACTCAACTTATTAAATCATTAAAAAATATAACTGCTTTAAAACTTTTTCTTTTTTTATGTAACCTAAAAGATGTTGTCACTTATTTAGTGGTTTTTGACCTTCCCATTAATGGAACTTTCGCTTTTTACCGCCGCGTTTCTTTCCTTTGCCTTTTCCCTTGGCCAGTTTGCGCTTTTTGCTTCCATCGCCGCGCAGGGCTGATTCCCGACTAATCTCCCCGAGGATTTCATCGCCAAGTGTGCCTGTGAGGGGCATAGATAAATGGGTTAGAAAATTCGTTGAAAATAAATGGAGGATGGGAAAAACATACCCAACGTGGTCAGTTTGCGCTGACGATGCTTCTCCGCCTTGGTCACCGGCAAACGCATCAAGTAGGTCTCCTCGTACTCCTGTTTCTCCTTCTGTGCATTCGACAGCAGCTGCTGAGCCCGCGAACCAGATGATATCTCAGTTGGGGCGTCCAAGTATTCCTCCTTCAGGTCCTGCAACATGGAAGACCTGCAAAAAAGATATGTCTTCTGTTGATAAATGGAAACTGATGAGCAGCAGTTGTCAAAACTCACGTAATGGCCCGCTTCTTGGCCCGGTCCAGGGCCTTCTTCTCCTTGTCGGCATCACGTTCATCGCCATCGTAGTAAACTGGTTTTATGCGCGGCGGAACATACACTCCGGATTTCCCGGCTGTGGCCGCCTTGCGCGGCATTTTCGCTGCTCCGGCCTCATCCTCATCGTCCTCCTCCTCATCATCATCATCGTCATCATCCCCATCGCTGCTATCTTCCGCATCATCATCCCCATTGCGACCTGCTCCGGCTGCACTGCTCATCATATCATCTGGATTGGGCTTGTATAGTATGGGATCTGTACTGCTCGACACGCCTGTGGTGGCTGTCTTCACCAGCTTGTCGATCTGGTAGCGCAGCTTGTGATCTATAGGCCGAATCTTCTCCAGCACTGTGCGAATCTCAATCAGACGCTCGATGGAGGGATCACCCTCGATGGTCTCGCCAGAGCATTTGCGCAGTACCACGTAGGTGAGATTGATCAAGTAGTCGAGCAGCATGTGGTACTTGACCTCCAGGAAGCTCAGGCCGTACTCCGTGGTCAGTTCGCCTCGCTTGACCCGCTGCAGCATGCCCTCCACCAGATCCGTCACCTGTTTCACATTGCTGTTCATCTCGCCAAGCAGCTGGATGGCCTGCGGGATGTCCTGGCCCTGCACATCACAGTCGTAGTCGAGAGCCTTAAAAAAAATGGTTAAAAATGGATTAGAATAGTTTAAACAATTAGGGATTTCAAATATATAAGTATATCTTCAGCTAAGTAAGCTAATCGCCAGACCATTTTAACAGCTTACCATGCCAATTTCCTGATATGTTCTAAAACCCTAGTCGGCTCATTCGGTCTATTCAACATGCATTTGCTGTGGACCAGGTCTAAAGCCCGGACAATTTCATTATATGCGAAGCACCCTGGCAAATCTACCTCCTCACTGCCCAGTCAAGTGTCGCGTAACTCATTTGCATATTTTATTGGTTGCCATTTAATTATTTGCATTTTACAACAATTTTGGCTGCACACACACCGCCCACACACTCACCCACCTCAGGGCCATCTGCTTTCTGACCGACCCGGCTTATGTTGCATTTATTTTCAATTAATATTAATAAAGCTGGCGGTTGGCGGTAGAGGAGCTATAAGGTGGAATGGCGTAGGCTGGGTTTGGTAAAGCGGGAATTGTCTATTTTAGAGATTAATTTCAAAATGACTTTTTTCCCTTATATATTTGTTTTTGTCATTTGTGGTCTGCGAATTTTGCCTGCAGTTTTACAAAGCAATTTACCAAATTGTTATTTTGACAGCAAAATTTCTGGTTGAGTGCAGAATAACCCGTAGGTTTTATTGCGCATTATGAACGAATTTGCATATTTTTATTGGCAAATTATTTTAATTGCATTTTGAGGCTAAGCATTATAATATGTACATAAATTAAAGCAAGTGTGGTGAAATTTGGCTCATGGGTGGTTTAATATTGGATGGTTTAAAATTTATAAAGCGAAAAGGATTAATCAATATTCGACTAATAAAGGTCATTAGATGAAAGTTTTCCGGTCTTCTTAGTTACTTTGAGTTCTTAATATCTTTAGATATTTCCCCAGACGATTTAAAAAATGATTTCAAATTTTTAAACTGCGTTTTTATATGGTTCCTAAAGCTTTATTCGAGCAGCTTTTTAAATTAACCTTTTATACCCCAACATAACAACTCGTACAAAAAGGCTATTTATTGTAAAAATAGTCAAATAAATATGCTTCTATTGACGGAATTTTAATAATCGTATGGTGAAAACATTCGATGCGGAATTTGAATATTCATGACAAGTTGACATCTGCAATAGGACCAGTACAAAAGTATCTACGCCTGTGGCACAAACATGACTGGCATGACCAATAGTCACTTTCCTGCTCTTGCGCAACCCAACTAACTGCCAGACAAACAAAGCGTTAAATAAAACGCGGGCATATTTAAGCAGAAACAGCCAATTGCAGATACGATGCGTTCTAACTGCCCACTATCCCAAAACCCCGACACCATTCCCAACTCCAGATAGCCAAAATGAGATGAGATGGGTATAACGAGGCTTCCATTATAAACTGACACCCCAAAATGGCAGCCATAACAACGTGTGTATTGGACCTGCCAATGGCAAATACTACAAATTGCAAACTATGGTTAGTTCCACCATACTGCCCTTTCTATAGGGCGGGGGGTCATTCTCCTCTATCACAAAGTGCAGAAATGATTTAAAATTCGACGAACCTTTTGTGTCATTTCCAAATGCACCACCAGCCAACACAATGCAATTTTCGAAATTATTGTAGTTGTTGCATTGCTGTCACTGTTAAGCATTAATCGTTATTACGCAATGGGCATTATGTACATCATGGCCACCAAAAAATGGGGGTCCGAGGGCAAAAACACAAAACATAATTCGCCCATAAGTAGGCAATGCAAATGCAATCGAATCCATCCGAGGGATATGAGGAGAGGCTGCGTTTTGTATATACAATATCTGCATGTACTGCATATATGCCCTCTCATTCTACAAAACTCGAATAAACAAACCATTTTTCCTGGCCATTTTTCCGTCGCATGAATTAAATATAAACAGCAATTTCTGTTTGTTTTTCAGCCAGGTTATGGAAAACCCTGCACATCCGCGACCCTTCTTTTTATGCATCCCTTTCTGCCGCAATCCGCTGAATTTAATGACAACATTTGATGGTGTCTACCCCCGTTTTTCCCCATCCCTCAAAACAAAAAACCCCTTTCTACTGGTCCTGAGTGCAATTGCCTGAAATTATATTCGGTGCGTTATACATATCCAATTTATTTTTATATTATTTCATGCATTAATGTCATAAATAAATTTCAGTTCGAGTTCGTATGTGGTTTTAGCTTCGTCTGCGATAATTGCATGAATCATTTGCATATTGGGTGTACAGTTTTTGACAGACGATAAAAGCAGTTGTGTGGTAATTGCCAAAAATAACGGATGGGGAATGGTGTTTTAATTAAGGGGTTTGAAATTTCCTTGTTTTTATACCACATTGTGTTTTTAATACTTAAAATAATTTAAAGTTCAAATTAGTTATTATTATTACCTATTTATTTATTTATTTTTAGATCTATAAATGCTTATCACTAGACCGTAGTCCCCCCTTCTCTCTCGATATATTTGTTTGCGCTTCTTTACCTTTACTCGGTAAATAACCTTAAAAATCTATAAATGCTACCCTGTAAGGGGGGATTAAGGATAGGTGTATAACATTAATAGATTTTTAAAGTTATTTACCGAATACAAATAGAACAGCCGCACACGTTTAAGAAATACCCCAAAAACTGGGCTCATATCAATTCGCAGACATGAAATCACTACGAAACACTTTGCTTCCTATCGATGCCATCAGTCGAAATCCCGCCATTGGGGAACTACAAATTTTCGAATTTCGGCCGCGGCAGCCATCTGCATCTGCTGGGGTTTCTGGTTGTGGGGGATTTCGGGACCATCATACGAGGCGACGCCCATTAGAAATCGATTGACATAACTCAAAAATTGTGCAAATTAACGTTAAACCGGCGAGCCAACGAGAACATCTATGGGAGGGAGTGCGCTTTGCAAACCAGCGAAGCCTGTGAAACATGGCGGTTCGAGTCGGTGTGGAATTCTTCGCAGACCAAATGCACTGAAAAAAATCCTTATTGCTCTTCATATTACATTTTTTATTTTAAACTTTTTTATTTTTGAATTCGTTAGTAGTTTGTTTGTTTTTTATAAAACATTTTGACAGTAAGCTAGCAATTTTCTCTTAATGGAGTAATACTTCCTCATTTCAGCATTATAATAAATTTAAAACTAAGACATATACATTTCAAAATTTAATTTAATAATAAGTATAATTTTAAGAAAAAGAAAATGGGTCTAAATTTGTATCTGAGTGTGTCAGGCAGGCGCTTGATGTAGTACCCGCAAGCTGGCTCTAAACCGCAGTGAGCCACCCGACCACAAAGCCACCCAAGTACCAAATCCTCCGCTCCGGAGTCTGATGACTTCCCCCAAAGAGGGGCACCCAAATATGTGCAATTTTTCGTGGTACGTGTCGCTGTCTTTATTGTCGTTGCAGTCGCTGGTGTTGTCGTTGTGTAATGCCAATAACCGAAATATTGATTCAAATTCATGGGTAGAGAACGTATAGCTTCGGGTTTCCCAAATGGCCTTTAGCCACCATAGATACTTTCTAAAAATAAAAATCGTAATACTCGCCTAGGAATAACACACACATTTTTTAAGTTGATAAACCTCTGTAAAAAATATAAAGCTTCCATGTTTTAAACCAATTTAGATACCAATATTTAAAATTCAAAAGAATTTCTTTATAATTGTTAGTACCTGACTATTATAAACACATTTCCTTAAGAAAATTTCTTTCCTTACTGAATGTTTTTGGTACAAAACAAACGTAAAGTTTATATTTCTCGTTAAGTTATTTATTTAAAATACTGTTAGTAAAAATACTGATGTTACACCACAGAATTTAACTTTAGAAGGAAAATGTTTAGGAGTTGGCGCAGCGAATGTCATTATTCCTGTTGCGGCTGGCATGTGGGTTGCATTTTAGCGGATGGATTGGATTGAAGAGGGTTGGGTTAGAGGTTTGCGTTGGTTTGGACAAAAACGGGAAATGAAACTTTGCGGTTTCGAGCCAATGCAAATGCAGCTGGAAACACTTTTCCACACACGATGAGCACTCATATTCGATTCCCGAAAAAAATTTCATAGTTTGCATAAAACAGGCACCATAATTTTCCGCCTGAATTTGCATATGACAATTATCAATTTCGGTTTTATTTATTCAACCTCCACCGCTAAAATTCCGACCAATTCAGAAATCCATTATTTATTTTAATAATTGGCAAGCGCAAAAAATAAATAAAATAAATTAAACACGATGGCAAATTGGCAGCGCGAACAAAAAGTGGCTGGTTGGACTCGAGTGCGGGGTTCTAAGGGTGGTCAAATAAATTGAATGGGTGATAAAAAGGAGCCTCTTCCCCCAAACATAAATACAATTTAAATGGTCTACGGTTTTAATGGTAAAATTAGTCAGAGACTGTACCGAATATAATAGGTGTATCCCCGTGTTTCGGATGTTTAAACAAACTTTACCTGAACCAGGCTAGATTTATTCGGACTTTTATAACCTAAATCTACGAAAAACACAAAGTTAAAACTGTAGAATATCGCTGTTTTTAATGAAACATAAAATCAATAAAAAGCCATGCTTACCAAATTTATAAAATGTTCTCACATCTGTAAATAAATAATCCCTTTGAATCCGTCAATATCCATATTCCAGCACCATCTCACACTGCTCGTTATTGTTATTTAAAAAATACAAATATTCGAGGCATATGTATACACAAACAGAATCGGCCAAAACACGGGGGCCGAGAACAGAAAAAAAGGAGCCACATTGCTATGAAATATTGCCAATCAGAAATGAAACCGAAAATAAATCGATTGTTTCAACAAACGCACATAGCGCAACAACAACAACAACGAATCCAACTAGCCATGGCCAAAAAGCAAAACAACAACCATATGTCGATGGGGAAGGTCTGAAAGAGTCGGGAACAACACGTTCTCTGTCCCATTCTCCGAAATTCTGCGAAACGCGAAAA